ATATATATATATACCGGGTGGCGCAAAAAAAAGTATAACTGTTTGATTACATATAGCTCAAAGACCATAAGCAGTAGAACCCAAAATCGAGTTTCATTGCATCCAGCGATGTCTAACCTAAATTTTGGTATATTCGACAGGCATTTTCGTCCAAGATTGACTGAGATATGAGTGTTTAAACTTTTGTTAGCAAATTTGAAACGGTCACAAATTAGCTAAAAACGGCCTATTAAACTGATTTTTAGCTAATTTGTGACCGTTTCAAAATTGTTAACAAAAGTTTAAATCTTATATCTCAGTTAATCTTGGATGAATATGCCTGTCAAATATACCAAAATTTAAGTTAGATATCGCTGGATGCAATTAAACTCGATTTATGGTTCTACTGCTTATTGTTTCTGAGTTACAAGTAATCAAACAGTTGTACTTTTTTTTGCGCCACCCGGTATATATATAATATATATATATATAATATATATAATATATATATATATATATATATATATATATATATATATATATATATATATATATATATATATATATATATATATATATATATATATATATATATATATATATATATATATATATATATATATATATTACTATACCTTTTTTATTTAGTATAAAAAAGTGGTCTCAACCTATTATTCATGCACAAGGAATGCAGCCACATTTGTGAGATGTCAGAATTCTTGACCTAAGCATTAAATATTACACGGTTAATCGGTCTATACTTTAATGCGATTGGTAACCGCCATGTGACAATGTTGACGCAGGTTTTATTACTAATGGGCGAACATGTGAAAAAGCTAGTGCTAATCTGTACATGCATGCATTTAGACTACAGAGGAATCAAGAGTTTTTTTTAGTTACGATTGAGTTATGTGTTGACGTTAATGAGTATTAATTAAACAGGCGTAATAATGGTTTGGTGTGCTTACATGCTGCATGCGTGCTTACTTTTTTATATTTTTTTATTTAATATTTATTATTATTATAATATTTTAACAGGAGCCCATATCTCCAAGGAGATTTTCAATGGGGCCGGCCTGCATAGATAAACGTTACAATATTTTAGAAAAATATATAAAATCAATATATAAGTATATAGAAATTACATGCAGTATAAAGTAGATTAAGACAAATTACAAGAAAATAGATATGTTAATAGTTAGAATTAATCTTATAAGATTTTTTTAGACTTTAAAATTGGCTTAACGATCCAAATGTCGCAACTCTAATGGTAAATTATTCCACTCACTCGAGAATGTCTGGAATAGTCATGCATTCGATATGTTGCAGGAGGTCGTTATTATTTGAGCGTGATGTCACTTTAGAGGGACTTTAGAATCTTTTGAAAGAAGAATACCCCACAATGATAAGCGTGTTACTAATTTTATGGTATACTGCGTAGCGGGTTGCAACCAGGCTATTAAATGAGTAATGTCATATAAAAGCGAACTTCGTTAACAATGTCAATGGACGATTGCTTAATCACATCTAAAATCAACTGAGTATTAATAGCAGAATTACCAAAATTCAGCGGTTCTGTTAAATTACCCCATTTAAAATGAGCAGGCATAAATTAAAGCCAAAATTTAAATAGTTTGTTGAAACCGTCGCTTGTGGTTTGTGTGGCTGAGGTGATAACGTCTTTTTATGCCGCAATTCCTTATGGGAAATTTCGCACATTATTTTAAATTAGTGTGGAATTCAAACATTATCCCATATGGAATGAAATACATGATGCATGCGGTTTCACACATTCTTTTCACATCAGGAAAATGACAGTTATTAATTTCACATCTAAACACATGGAAATGGTCCTAAATCGACAGTCTATATTCAGGGCAAAATGTTATAATATGTACATGCACATTATACTACAAAAACCTTGTTGTCAACATAAACGTAAACGGTTTCCATGTTCTGCTAATATTACAATATTACCAAAATTCAGCGGTTCAGCCTTATTTCTGCTCAGTAAATACAGTAATAGTCGTCGGGAATATTGCAACACCATGCACTGATATTGTTTTGGTTTCCAACAGATGAAACGTACGATCGAGAAGTTAGAATACTTTAGTGATAGAGTGCTATAATGCAGAATAGAGACATTATATAAAACCATACATACATACATGCAGTCGCGATTCAGTGATCAGAATGTTCCATTTTCATTTATTTTTTGAAAATCACACTGACACTGTTCTCCATGCCATCCAGGTCACATATTGTTTTGCCATATTTGTGACGTTATGCAAAAGGATATTGGTATCCACATAAAATATAATTTTCTGCCCTAAGGTCTTTAATATGCGTCCAGGGTTGATGAAAATGTCGTCATAGACAGTCAACGAATCTTCGAGTGCAATAAATTTAGGTCTTAGGTTTTTGTTTTTTTCTCCGTGAATTTTCCCGTATTCAAATTGCAAAAAAGGCAAGAAAAAACATATGTCAATTTATCCCTCGCAGCCGGCAGTTGTATTCTGCCAACCATTGACGTCTGTGCAGGAGGCTAACGTCATGCAGTATTTAATCAGTTTAATTCAAAGTGTCCTTGAAGTTGCTTCCCGTGAAAAAGGAAATTCTTGTTTATCTCGAAAAAGGAAATTCTTGTGTATCGTTTACTTACCACCAGACATTACCACTCACATATTTTATAGTCTGACACATCTGACAGTAATTAATAAATATCGTGATATTGATAGTCTGAATGTCACCAAGGTAGTGTTATAATTGCAGCAATTATGGTTTTTAGCAAACTGTAACCATAAACATCATTATATTTTTCTGTCAACCTGAGCTATATATGGCACTGGTAGAATGATGCAAATAGGAGAATCAGATATGGCAAAGTTCTGATTATCTGAACGCAAAATATTTGGTAAAACCAAAATAATACCTGCACTTAGTACACTACAAAAGTCTATAGATAATTGGTTTCTACCATGTATACTCGCATATTTTCTTACACTTTTACGCCCAGTCAGCTACCGCAGTAAAAATTCTGAAAAAACCCTGCAATATATATCATGGAGAAAATACTACACGTTTATCCAAAATCTTAGGTAATGAAGTAAGATTTCTCGGAAATTTCATTTCAGATCTTTGATAAGCAAATTTGTACTTGTACAGCTATCCCCTACATAGTATCTGACTCTAAACTAAAACAAGGTTTACTTCGTTCATTCCAAGGAGATATAGTCATATATGGAGGTGGTTTATCAAGTATTTTTTTCAAACTGTGATTGTCTGCGTGATCAAATTTTGTAGCTGACTAACGCTGATTTGTACTCAATTTGTTCTCATTTCTTTAAATGTACGTGATTGAAATTCAAATTTTAGTAATATATATATATATATAAGAAGCTGGCAAGGTATTCATCTTGCGTTTACCTTGGCATTTAGGAAATTAGTTCAGTTTGAAAGCGCCTGTATCGTTCTCAGAGCAGTAGATACGTAGCTAAAGATCGGCAGCGGGGAACGTCAATATTTATACACATACTAGACAGTCACATACTGTCTCGTTGAAGACCGCATTTTGTTTCTTTAGGCCATCAAACTGAGCATTTAAGTATTGTGAACTGAGAACAAATATTAAAACGTTCAAACATAAACAAGTCCAACATACTGTCATACCATCCAATCTAACTTCTCTGCTGGGTATTCCTGCCTGTTTGAAAACATTAACCGCAGGGGGTAATAACATATAAGTTCATTTATTAAATGATTTTATTAACAAGATCTTTGGGCGTTAAAAGTTTAACTGAACCGGGATTATACACGCGCTGTTGTGTTTATTCCGCTCAGAAACGAGGTGTGAGATGTCATCTTATATCATGTAATTGTATTGTAGAGTAGAGCTTCTTCTTGTTTAAACAACGAGCGAGCGAGCGTAATTAACATGAAAACGTTTTGTTTCTAACAAATGTTTTTTCATCTCAGCATTTCTCACACTTTCCCTGTGATTAACAAGTAATTGCGAAGAATTCAATAGATCATTGGTTTAGAGGGTTGGCTTGCAGGTGTTACCCAGCAATATCAAAGATTGAAATAATGTAAAAGAGATTGTATTTAGGCTGTTTCATCCACCTACAATTCATCAAACTCAAAACAATGGCTTGCGAAATATCTGTCAGTGTCTTTTATATTTCTATAGAATTTTATGATTACCTTACCAAAGCTTAATGAGTATTTTGTTGCCTGTTATACTTGAGAACAACAGAAGGCTAGGTAGAAGCCAACATTTAATTATTCAGATTGGCCAAATCTCACGGCATGCATGTCTGATCGATTCTGATGACACTGACTATCATTAGCTATAAACGACGTCGTTTCATCATTCCGTGAGAGCCGTCCATTTTCGTCGTGTGCTCTGGAAATTATTCAAACATTGTGTCTTGAAAGGTAAATAACACTCATAGAATTCTTTACAAATGAGTTGGTCTGCCATCATGATGAATACCTGTACTTGCAGATATGAAGTGCCTATTAGTCATTGAAGGAGAGTAACACGGCATTATATACATGCTATATATTTTTAATGACTATAAAATATGGCAAAATATTAAGCTATATAGCTTTTATTTGCTCGGTGTTAATTTACAATTATAAGCTGAACACAATGAGATGAACGTGGTACTGATTTCTTATATTATCTAGATCTCATCTGATTGGCTAAGAAGTTTCTTAGCGCTCTGAGTGGGTGGCGCTTCGGCATTAACACGATATAGTTGTATTGGAATTGTCATCGGGAACAACATTAGTAATTAGTGGCGTTGAAATCAAGAGACAGACGGTCAGAATATTTGAACCCGTTGTTTATGGTCAAGAATCTCTTACTAACTGGAGTATAACTGCCAGATTTTGTTCTTTGAAAAGGTTGACATTGCTGTACACTATCAAGCTCGAAGTTAACCTTCATTAAGAAAACAGCTGGACACTTGCAAGCAGCTTAATATATCGTTTACATGTAAACTATTGGCTGTAGAATGGCTGAAAATATTATGTTGCCATTTTCCTTCTTTACGTTGATCCTGGTTGTCTTGACTTCACCGCTGCAATATACTGGTGTTCCTTCATCCTGTCAAGGATTGCAATCGAAACACGAATTCAGTAATTTTTCCGTCGGCCAAAGATTCGCTACAGGTAAGTTTTATATGTGCAGTCTCAGACGAGCAGATTATTCTGTTTTAATACTTCGGTATATGTTGCATGACTGTGTCCTCCTTCTTTAGCGCGGTATATTAATGTACAATTTCCTAAATACTGGGGTATAACAGGAAAATCATAATCAGAGGGAGCCGACATTGTTTCCTTACTTATTATTTTCTATATACAGATGATAATCTTTCATTATGGGTCAGACGCTCTCTGATTGTAATGTTTAATTCTAACAAGCTCGCGGCTACCAGGCTTGAAGACTACGGTCAGAATTTATAACTCGCTGAGTCAGGAAGTCGAAAGCAAGCTTGTTACATGAGTAAAAATATTACGATCAGAGAGCGTCTCACCAGAACTATATATGCATCCTAATCGCGCGTCCTCCATATTTGTAGATAATCTTTCAATTTGTGTATACAATGACACAACATGCTGTACTGAAGACATGGAACAGCTACTTCACAAGCTCAGCCAAAGCAATGTACGAAATATACACACAGCGAAAATGGACTTGATCCAAAAAATATTTAGTAATGGTGTGACAACATTCAAAGGTGCGTGCTACTATGACTATGTTTTCTTTCTTTGTTTTCATAATGCCTCGAGCTGTATATTTATAATATGTCCACTGATAATTTTTATTTTCATGTGTGTCAGTGTGCTTGTTTCAAACTAAAAGATACGGAAATTTTGGTGGTTCTGTTAATCCAATTATAAATGGTGTTTTCGTAAACCACGGGGAATTAATGAGCTGGTGACTTTTCCCTCCACCGCGAGGCGCGAGCGAGTAGCATCCATCATATGCATGCATGTAGGCCATACGACACCCCAGTGAATTGTTTACTTTGTCTCGGTCAATATAGTTTTGTCGGAAATGTCTTGGCTTGACTCCATTTTGATGCAGCCCTAATCTTATTTTACCTGCGTTTTGGCAAACACTGAATGACTGAGTCTTGTTGACTTGTTGTACAGTCTTGGTCTACGCTGTGCTTGTATTAAGTGCATATTGTCTTTCATGCATTTATCATTACATTTTACTTATATTTGTCTTAGTGAATTTTCATATAACAACAGTAATTAAACTGCGGGCATAGTCTTTTCTCATTGAAACCTTTGCCCTTTGGTAAACAGGAATATACACTGCTCTTTATTTAAAATAATGTGGTGACCAAAGAAGACTAAGAGTACTACAGTATGGATCGAGACACCGCAGGTTGAGATTACAATCTATATATGCGTATTTGGAGATCTTATTAAATCTCACTTTATATGCTTGAGATCTTCTCAAATCTCAATTGAAGTATTTCAAATTACTGTTTTGTTTTATTCCCTCCTACTTTTCCTGAAACTTTCGTACTTTCTTAATAACTTTAGCTCTTTATAGATAAAACGAAGGCAAATCCTATAAACGATGCCAATGGGCAACTCTTATCTTTGTTATATCAACTATATACAGAATTTTCTTGATTAATACGCGAGTACCTAGCATTCTTTCATTTTATAATAATGCCAGAAATATAGTCAAAAACTTTAAAAACTTCCGCTAGCATATTCGTTAATCGCGACATGTTTTCCGCTTTTTGCCAGTAAGTTTCGACACGAAGTTTTAAGTTTCGCATTATATACATTGCGTTATACCTGCCTAACGCCTAGCTCCCGAAATTTTATGTAAAAATAATGAAGAAATAACCATAGTGCCGCCAGTGGCTCTTGTTCTTGATAATTATGCAGAAATATTGAATTTACATGAAATGGCAAGACTAAATTCATCTTTGTAAAAAAGAGAAAAAAATCGGTATTATTTATGTGTGACTTTTTGTGCAAATTTACTGATGCATTAAATGGTGTTTGAAATAATCAGTGAGGCGCGAAGTACACCAGCTGCTTCAAAGAGTTTTAATTATAACCAAAGCCGTGTTTGTAAAATCCCTGCTGGATAAAATAGTGCACGAATAACAAACCGCTGGTTTTGTTTTCCTTTATAATGTTAGTATATTTAAATGTTCTATCAAGCTGTGAGAGAATTTAAGTTCTATCCATTGGTCCCTTCAGTCTGTCATATTTATATATATGATCTTTTGTAGGGACTATTTCTTATGAATCATTGTGACATTGCCAAGTAGCTTAGCATACGATCTATTTTGAGATTAACTTCCTTGACAATCACTCAATGATAAATGGATTATAGAGTCGGGTCCATTATACCACACGTAAAAACCTACGATGAGTACAGTCCTTGAATGCTCTTGTGTTGTGGCTCAGTCGTTCGTTTTGAACAGTCATGTTTCATTGAAAACCTACGTAATCAAATGCACATCAATAGATTCAATGTACTATATATATAATGTCCTGATTCAATGTACTATATGTATATAATGTCCTGATTCAATGTACTATATATATATATATTTATAATGTCCTGCGTTTCGTCTATAACGAACTTTCTGCATGCCACCGCAATGACGTCAGCTTTTGAGGTTATTCATATATAGACAGTTGAAAAAACCCAAATGAATTCGACATGAAACAATTACGATGGAGTGTGTATTTTGGATGTAATATTTCAAATCCGAAAACGAGGAGTAGACGGGATATCAAGTCCGAGGAAGGAGTTGAGACCTGCTGAATCCAATCCGAATTTAAGGTTTTGAAATGACATCTCAATAATAGTCATAAATCATATTATGTATAGTGAGGTTGGTTAATTTTGATCCATTCATAGAAATGAATTAATTTTAGCGTATTAGTAAAAATGCCAAATGATTATTTTAATTCGGGCAAACGTGCCTGCATGTCCGTGCGATTTTTAGACACCACTATTGGAACAGGTTCTGTGACAACAAAACACAACAGAGTATAGAATAGATTTCCCATAAAGTACGAATCACAAACACGATCCCTTCTGTTTTTTTCTGGTGGCCAATTACAACTTCATTCTGTTTAGGGACGGACCATTTGATTTTTGATAGGGGAGTGGGTAGATTTTCAGTTTGCTCGATATTTTTTTTCCGCCTCCTGACACTGTTCGATTTTTTTTTGTCAGTCAGAGGACTTGCACGATATTTTTTTGTATGCATGTATATACATTTTTTAGTTTTTTGTTTTTACATTTTTTGGTATATAATAGGTAATTGTATCACTAATTGCCAAACGCCTTATAAGCTCCTACAGGCTACACCACTAACACCATATTTGGATGCAATCACCTACAGTCACACTGTGATCACCCTTACCATCACAATCATTCAAACTCACTATACCATTGAGTAAGTTAACCCTTAATTGAAGGATCTGCAAATTTGCTACACTTCACCAATACGAACGATGAACAATAAAGTGCGTAGTGTTGGAATGTCCCGCAAACAACAAGACCTTTGGTAGGATAACTTGTGACTAATAACATGTATAATAGTTACATCCTTTCACTGTGTAATTGGTTATTTTCAGTTATTTCATAATAATTTGTTTTCCTCTTGGTCTCACATTATTTTCCGAACTCCTATAAATTCTCCTTCCTTCTCCTCTTCAAATTATATCTACACCCCCTCCCTCTTAAAAACCCTGCTGAAGAAAACTGTTAGGTCGAAACGCATACCCCTGTACGCTATTCCTACTCAATTTCAATCTCTCGCTCTTATATCCTCGCCTTTGATCGTGTCCCATAAAAATTTCACTTAATTTAGTTTCTACGGCCGTGATTTAATCGTAGTGTTCCTAGTTTTTTACGTACATGTTCATCATAGGAATCGGAGTAAAGAAATAAAGAACAACCATTTTCGGAATTATACTGGTCCTCCCATTATTTAGGCTACAGCGCCGTAGGAAGCTCTTTTTTATTGGGGGGGGCTGAAAGCGAGGGCCGAAGGCCCGAGGAAATTTTTAAAATTTAGAGTCTCTGAAATGCCATTTCCTGGACCCTGCAGCCCCCGGTTGCTACATACGGCCCTGGGCTACACGCGGAAATGCACCGAATGGCAAATAAGAATTACCACCCGAAAGTCTTGCTCGATATTTTTTTTCGTCCGTTTATTCTTGCACGATATTTTTTTTAAGTTCGAATTGCTTGCCCGATATTTTTTTTGGGATTCTACCCACCCCCCCCATCAAAAATCAAATGGTCCGTCCCTAATATTGTGAATTTCACCATTCTTTTCGCACCGTCTTATTTCCTGTATCGGTGAAGTGGGTGAAAAGAGCCTAGGAGTCAGGAAGATATTTTCTTCCAGTTAAGTGCCTACATTGCAATCTAAAGCAATTTCAAAAATTCTACCACTGAATGCACGAAGTATTTCAATTTTGAAACTGAAGTTTATTTGCCAGTGCCATGGCACATTGCTACTTGGTGCTTCAATATATCAAGGACGTCAAGGAAGAAATAATGTCACTCAACTGTCAGTGTCATTTTGATGCGAAATAATTTTTGAAATTGAAAGTAGCTGTGGTGGTATAAAATCGGTAAAATATGGTTCATTGTTTCTCTTAATCTGTTTGTCGGTTAAATAATCTCATCCATTCAAATTAATCCTCTTGTAGGAAACTATAAACTACCCTGTCATATTTTGAAAGTTAAAAAAAGCCAGATATATATATACCCTTCAAATATTTTAATATCCACCTCGTGTTCGATAACAAAAGGGAAGAATGAAAATTTGATAACATTTCGTGCTGATATTCGCAAATTATCAATAGACCCGTCCCTGAGTATAATTACTGCATGTTTAATGAGAAATATGAGAAATCATAGGCGTACGACAGGGAGGGGCTGCAGCCTCCCACTCAGTTTTAGTCGGGCAGATTCTACTTAAAATTGCTTGGCCTGCCCATCCTGCAAAAATGTATCTTGTCATGATAATAATGTTGATTAGTAAGAGAAATGAAAGTAATTCGCCTTTAATTTTTACAATTACTAGAAATAATTGTATATTAATTACGTCTGTGTATCGTCCTATTTACCACCTTTACGGCATCGATCGTTCGTAATATGCAAGATGATGTATATCTTGAGGGAGGTGTCATCCTCAGGAATTCAATAGAGACCTTAAGATGTAGGACGGAAAAGCGACGACAACGGCCAAAACAAATTGATTCAAATCAATGATTGTAAAGAAAGCTTATCGTATATTATCATTCGTATGAAGTTAAAACAGCTTGACAAGATCAAAATAGAGGCTTTCTATTGAGTAGAATTCCACATTAGCACTTAACCAATTTGCTGGGTATCCACTTCTTACGTACTAAAATACAAATGTTGCACACAGGACGTAAAAACTCTGATTTTACCGGTTGTGAACAGACCGTGGACGACGTCTAAGTCTCCCGTGGGATTTTAATTATTCATTTTTTTTCTTAAATATTATTAATTCCATTGTATTACTAGTAGCCGTTGCCGTCGCGTTGCCGTCCTAAAATCGTAAGGTCTCTAATGAATCCATTACCTCGTAGGCGTACGACAGGGAGGGGTTGCAGCCTCCCACTCAGGTTTAGTCGGGCAGATTCTACTTAAAATTGCTTGGCCTGCGCACCCTGGTATAATGTATCTTGTCATGATAATAATATTGATTAGTATAAGAGAAATGAAAGTAATTCGCCTTTAATTTTTACAATTACTAGAAATAATTGTATATTAATTGCGTCTGTGTATCGTCCTATTTACCTCCTATTCATCTATCAATAAACGCATGACAATATATCGGCAAATGTTTGTCCTTCTTCCTAATCTTATATAAGTTCTAGTAGTTTACTACTAGTTTATTACACTTGTGACCAGGAACAACTCTCATTGTGCATGGTGCAATTATCATATAAGCCGACTGATCGTCTCTACTTTTACTGCGTCGATCGTTCGTAATATGCCAGATGATGTATTTCTTGAGGGAGGTGGTGTCATCCTCAGGGATTCAATTCAAAAGCAAGACAGAAAGATTTTAGCAAAGTATTAATCGCAAACAAGGAAACTCTTTTGTCAAATTATTTGTAGGCAGGCGTATGCATGGTTTGACTTTAGTGTTCCAGATTATTTAGTCGCATCTACCCAAGATCAAGAAGCACAATTTTTTCAGTTTCCTATATATCTGAAATCCCACTTTTCATTTTTATTAATCGTTTACCTGTACTTACACGTAAATGCACAGCAATAAATTTCTGTAATTGGATGATTTGTGAAAACACCAGATTATTTATTTTACACAGCTTTCAATTCGTAATCCGGATCTTCATCATGCATTAGTCATCTTCATATTGTTTCGCCACTGTTGATGCACGGCTTAGTGGTTTACGGATCGATCGGCTTTGGGACTGGTGTTTTCCGCCAAAAAAAATAAGTGCAAAGCCGTATGTCGTGATATATATCTGCCAAGTGTATGCCACCCCCGTCCCGTCATCACCAAAGAACCTCCACAAATAAATCGATGATTGAAAAAAATAATGGTGCATGATGGGAAGCCCACTGATATATATGTACTCATTGGACATTAGCCCTATTCACATTAGAGACGGACAAGTCGTCTTAGATGAACAAATCGTCTCTCAAAAATCGTCTTCACAGACGGACAAGTAGTCGAACAAATTCGACGACTTGTTCGTCTAAAATTTTGTCCGACACGTTTTCACATCTGATGATGTGTCCGACTAAAAGACGATTTGTTCGTCTAGACGACTTGTCCGTCTTCTAATGTGAAAATGGCTATTGACGACTGTGTTCGGAGTCAGATTCTGCACCTGGCAAACACCGCGGTCAAACGTCCGCGTTACTTCTGTATTCAAAAGACTGGAAATAGTCTTCACGAGTTTGTCTAGTAGTAGTATTGTCTAGCAAAAAGTTCAAAGAAAATTACGAGTGTTTCACTCAGTATAACTTCGTCTTGACACAAGGAAAAAGCGTTGAAATTCCCTACTTTATAACTTCAGCCGCATTTCCCCCTCCATTTCCGTATACTCGCGCATGCGCTTTACGTTTGACGGCGGTATTCACCTGACATGGTATCCAGTCGCTCTTCCCGCGTCCCATCACTGCACGACTCTTTTTTTCGGAACGATTTGAAAAGACTAGAAGAGTCTAATTATATGCATGTGATTTTAATTACGTTTTGTGAAATCACTTATAAGAGCGTGTAAAAAGGTGATAATAAATCTGGCAAACTATACTTCAAGAATTTTCTATTTTATTTCAACAACAAGAAATTAAAGATTAAATTTTGTATTTGTAACTACTTATACAGTATGGCACCAGATTGGTGTTAATTCTTTAATCTTCTGTTGTCTGGTTATGTTGATGGTTATGATGGTTATTTTAGGTTAATCTTTGTTTGTATAATCTGTTTAATATCTAAAGAGTCATCATATAAACAAAGAGCACAATTGCACCTACAACGTAGGTAGTGTAAATATTGGAATTCATTAAGTGTTGGTGCCCACGTATTTCAATATTTTGTCGAAGAAATAGCGTAGATCAAGGTTGTTATTTATAGCACAAACATCGGACAAACAAACTGAAATTGACTTCCAAATGAATGCAAACTGACTAGCTATATTCTGTTGTTAAGCCCGCAAGAATTGTGGGAATATTCGGACAAACTACACATGTGACGTCAAAAAATGGGGAACCCTTTCATGTATGCCTATTTCTTCTCAACTTATTCTTGTCCCCAGACCCTTCTCCTTCAGTCACTCGTTGAAAATCATAAGCTCTGCAAAGCTCTGCAGGATTAGATACCAAAAGAAGGGATCTGATTGGCTTCTCAGCGAACGGCAATTACTGGAAGTTGAGCAGTTTTCGCTTTTTAAAAACAATACCAAAATAGGTCAACACAAATACTTCATTAACGTTTCTTCGTAATGCTTCGAATTCAGTTTCTCCGTAATACTTTTGTTCCTCGTCTCACGGTCCTAGTAATGAGATACTTTCGTATTTTGTTGAGATTTTAAAAGTTACTGGAAGATATCTAGTAGTAGTATCCCTCGCAGCCACTTTTTGTATCGTTCCTCCCCAAATAGCTAGAATATATCCATGCCTCATACTCGGTCCAAACAATCATATTCCTCATCATATGACCACATATCCCATGTAGTAATAATGTATAATTACAGCATTACGCGACTTATCAAGATTACCATGGGCGCTTTCATTAACACGGTCAGAACGGTCAAATTGTTGAATGAAACACAAAACATTTGGGCTTTGGACCTATCTGACCGGAAAATTTGGATAACATTAGAATGATGTCCATTTTCGCTAGATATTTGAGAAACATAGACCAAATCTTTCCATTGACACAGAGAAAAGAATTCGGGTCTGACCGGTCAGGCCATTAAATGGAAAGCGCCCTATATACAAAGAAAACAATCCTAGAATGCCAGCCAACGTCATCGCTAAAATAGTAACCTGGCCACCCCTAGTTGAGAACAAGTGACTGTGATATGTGATTACGGTATAACCGTCTTACACTATGACATCGGAGGTTAAAATCGTCTTAAGAAAATCAGATATTTATTTCTTTGGGAAAATTGTACAGTAATAACCACTGATCTGAAATAAGACTGGATAAAGCATCTGCTGTGCATAAGTGAAGCCAATGGCGGCCATATTGGATGGCCCCACCATTAATCTAATCTGGTGTTGTGGACATGTTTAACTCTTCCTTTACGTTTCTAGTCACTAGTGGGAAAGGACAAATATTGCCTATATAAGAATTTATTATCAGTAGCTCTCTTTTTTTCCTAAATTTGCCGGGGCCGCTATAAGCCTCATTATGTGGTGTATAAAACGTTCTAAATCTATTTCAAAGAGGTTTTGGAAGCTATATTTCACAAGTTACATAGGCGAAGATATTTGCTTTATAGTCTAACTGAACTTGAACAGCAAACGATTAGACTGGTCATGAATTTGACTAATTTATAAATCTCATCTCATTAAAACTTCAAAATCGGATTACTGAATTCAATAGGATGCTTTTTATCCAGTCTTATTTCAGATCAGTGAGTAATGACAAATTCTATCGTAACAAGTTAATAACCTTACACTTAGCAATTTACAAGATGCAACCTCGTGCCCAGGGTACTTTCCATATGAGAAAATATCGCAATCTCGTACTCAGAGGGGTAGAGAAATATCAAAATCATTCTCATCATGTATGCAGCATAATAAATTTATATTCATGTATTTCATGGATTCATAGTCTAGTAAATTGCTGTTATTTTGTCAAACGCTACGTCTACGTCAAGCTGTTGTAGTTTGTATCTGACCTACATACCTCAAAAACGTTTCGAAGTGCTTCAGGAGATCGTGCAGTTGGCACTAGATGTGCAAATCCGATCCGATCGGATTCGTTCGGATTTCGAAACAAAAATATGCATGTCGGATCGGATTGATAAAGTTGTTTCGTAGTCGGATCGGATCGGTCTTCGATATTCGAAATAAAATGAATTAATTATTCACGCATTATCGCAAGAATTAATTATCCATGCATTTATCAAAGCATTATCGCGGTTGTCGCTGCATTATTAGTTTGATACTTCAATTGGACGTCACTTTGTCAGCTTCTTGACATGTATTTCTTGCTTTTATATTTATTTGGGTAAATATTTCAACTTGAATGAAAAATTTATTTTATTAAAGGATTCTTCGGATCGGAATTCTTTATCAAAACTCGGATCGGATTCGGATTAGACAATTTCGGATCGGATCTGATTTTAAACATTAGCCAATAGACTTTATGCATAATGACGTCACAAGGCTTGATGCCCGCCAAGAATGCTGGTCTTAGTAGTCATCGGCCGGGAAAATTAAACAATTCACTAATGGCCACTATCGAAACTTTCCCGGACGATGACTACTAAGACCAGCATTCTTCGCGGGCATCAAGCCTTGTGACGTCATTATGCATAAGGTCTATTGACGGATTATAAACGTCCAATCCGATCCGATGCACACCTCTAGTTGGCACTACCATGCACTGCCTTAGTGCCTGTTTATCGAGCCCAGTTTGCTGGGAAGCTCACCTGAGTGGGATGAATTATTTCTGTGTTCACATCACTCTTCTCGCATCCCACCCAGTGAACCCAATTTATTTTACTTTACCAAATAAACGAAAATGGACTTCACTGATCCCATCTAGTCATGTAGTCCACTTAATATCAGGCAAGGCGTTCCTGGTTACCAAACATACATGGTAAGAATGTTTAACATTTTATTTCAGATTTCTTTGAAGGTCACATAGACTCATCAGATGCAGCATTGGATAAGAAGTTTACGAGACTTTACCAAGACGTGTACGCAAATAATTCTCATGTCACCAAGTCATTCTACGACAAACTACGAAAGCATTATAGGAATGGCGACTATAAAATTAATAAAATTGTGGATGACTTCTTCAAAGAAGTGCTAAAGAGAATGTATGTATATGTAAAAGGAGGGAAGGCATCGGATTTTGATATGGACTGCGTTTCATTGACATATTACCAAATACAGCCATTTGGAAAAGTCCCAAGAGAGATAATTCCTCGGTTAGAAAGATCCATCGCTGCAGCTAGATCATTGATCTATGGTTTAAAAGTTGGAAATACAGTTGTTGAGAATCTCAATAACGATGGATGGTTTTCTGACAAATGTTTGAAATCTGTTACAAAAATGAGCCAGTGTTCAATTTGTGCTGGGTACAGTAATCTTAAGCCATGTGCTGGACATTGTATCGACGTTTTTACTGAATGCCTCTCTTCATTGACTGAGTTGGAACATGTCTGGGATGATTATCTCTTCTATTTAACTTTTCTTGGCTCTAAACTTTCCGCAGAATATGATTTTGATGCGATCACTAGAGAGTTACCTAACGATATATCCTTTGGAATCACCAACTGTCGAGATGCACTTATACAAAAAATTATACCCAAGGTCTGTAAAATATTTTTTATATAACACAAAGGGCCATTTCACTCCTATAATCTCGTAGATCCAGAAAAATTCCAATATAATATTTTTGAAAAGCAAGATGACTTGCCAAGCATATTCATTGAGTATTGCCAAGCATATTCATATACTTGCCAAGCATATTCATATACAAATGGCGTACGCAAATCCTCCATTACTCTACTGCTGGCGAGCTGGAATTTAAAGGCACAGTGCAGCCTTTTGAATGATGGTTTTTAAGGCGCATTTCAGCCCTTTTAATTGGAAAAACTAACTAGGAAAATCAATTAAGCATAATTCAAGATCAGCAAACTCAATGTTTTTAACAATAAAAATGTTTTAACATGTTAAAAACATTAAGTTTGCTGATCTTGAATTGTGCTTAATTGATTTTCCTAGTTAGTTTTTAGTGTGAAGTTTCTTCGAAACTTCACAGTATTGTGATGACTGGGGGGGGGGGAATTCAAACTTATCAGTCAGTCATACAGTAAACTTTCCGGGAGGTGTATACGATTTATGTTTGTAGTGATTTATTGTGCTTTGTCAGTACTTTGAAGGTTATTTAAGCAATTTCAGTTAACTTATTTACATATTCTGTTATCCTTTTGCCAAAAATTTGGGAAATGGGGAAAATAAGGATTGAAAACTTTTTTGACCCCCCCTCCAGACTGAAGGCAAACTTTTTGTGCCTCCCCCCTCATAAAAGTAGAAACTTTTCTGACCCCCCCCCCAGTGTGGATTGAAAAAATTAACAGCAATGAAACAGGTGTGCGTTGCAGGTAAAGTTAGATATTAGGACAATCTGTTTAATCTAGCTCATGATGTTTTACCCTGGTGAATATGATTCAACCATATATGATTAAAAAATATATATTATGTGTTACTACTTTGCAATGCAACATTTGTCCTACCATAACCCTAACCCATGACCCGTCTTCATACAGCGAAATGATTTGAACACAGGGTTTTTTTAAGAACTTGTCTGGGGGGGTGGGCATCTACAAAAAGGGACCATACTATATTGAGTGTGGAGAGATGACAGATGTGGTATCGTATGTACTAGTAGGGGGGTCTGGGGGTATTCTCCCCCAGAAAATGTTTTGTATTTTTCCACCCCTAGAACTGAAATGTGAGCATTTTCTGAAACAGATTTTTGGATATACAGCGTTACATTGTGTGTTGATAGATCGAATCTGATCAGTTAAATGTACTTGCATGGTATGTTTATGTAAATACCACAACTGGGTCACTCAGGGGGTAGAAAGCTTGTTAAACTTAGTGGGCTCAACGGTCGCGAGGCGCCACCATGGAGTGGCGCCGAGCAGGGAAATTTTGAAAATTTTGAGTCTCTAGATCGTTGGAAATAGCATTTTCAGAGTTTCTATTTTGCTATTTGGTATTATAGAAATCAAAAACTTTTATGACCCCCCCTTTATCTGTGTTAAAACTTTTTTGACCCCCCCCCTATTTATAAGGGTAAAAC